AAAGTTTTCCCCATTTCCCCGCTAAGGGGAGTTTCGTGATTCACGGATCGGAATAGCCTCATATCTGCCAAAACTCCGAAATTGAAAATCTGCCGAGCCGCTGCCTTTATGCATTTTTTGTCGTGAAAAGTCTGACCAAGATCGGAAATATGCGTCATTCTAAAAAGTAGATAATAACACCTGCTTTGAGAGTGTGCCAAGCTTTTTTCGCATTCCCAGGTTTTTGTTGATTTTTAAATTGTTTGAGTGTTATTTGTGAGTTCAAACTTTGATTATTGGCTTGACTGAACCAAACTACAACTATTATATTCGATAGATTAATAAACTTTACAAGTTATCTTGCGATCACTTGCAGAAAGTTTGATCTACGGAAGTATGAAGCCAAAATGTAAGTTTTAAATATGTTCTAATGCGGAGCTCCATCAGGGTGTATTGAGAACCTTGAAAATATCGCTTTGGCAGACTTGTGATTTGGGAGCATGCTTTTGAGCATTGTCAGGCCACTAATTCGTGTCCTCATCCTCCAACAACCCTCAGAGCAGCTCTGTCTTCGTCCCCCTCCCCACCCCATTATTCTTCCAAATAATGTGTTGCGAAAATTCAGGTAGTGGTTTATTTGAGTTGCAAGACTATGCAAGAACTTGTTTCTTGTAAATATTAGGCTGTCACAAAAGTATTAGGTTGATGCAAAAATAATGGCCATAGGCTATGAGTTCTTAAAGCTGAAAGTGACTTTTTTAGATATCAATGCAGATACCAGGCTGAAATTTCACAGCCATGTGGGAGGCTTTGTTTGTAGTACACATCACCTGAGTTGAGGGAAGGGGTGGAGTTAAAGGCGAAGTTTGCAGATCTTCGATTTTCGTTTTTTCTCATATTCTGAGTGACAAAAGTGCATGAATGACCGTTACTATGTGTCTACTAGGTGGTGTCCAACTGGGAGACTTGTAGGACTTCTCCGAGCGAAGATCTAGTTTTTGAGCTGGTCAAATGCTCACATATTTTAGCATCAAACTTTGCGTAGACCTAATGTGTAGGTAGATTTTTGTTAGCCACTTTGTAGAGCTTGTATATAAATGCTTTGGTAGCGTGTGCAACGGCCATTACTTTTGCATCAACCTAATATTTGCTCCGCATTTTCAAAAAATCCTGTAAAGAGCTTGATTCGTGCTTTCATATGGGATTCTTTTTGAAGAAATCCATTGAGATACGAAGAAGTTATGGTTTTTTTTGAATGCGGCGCAATTTTTTTTGGGAAAACCTAGTATTTGAAGTCGATAAACAGATGATAGCAAATTGATTTTGTGAAACCAGAAGATAATGCAGTGCGTATGATGTCTCCTTCCCCCTCCCCTCAAATTTCTCGAACCACTTCCTTCCATCCCTTGCTTTCAAGTCTTGACGCGATCGAGCTCGTCTTGAGTTTGTAAACTCTGAGTATGATGGGCTCTGAGAAAGGCTGGTTTACGCCATTTCCGTAATGTAAGTTCAATTTTTGGGATTAGCGTCGATTCACCCGAGAAAGCAAAAAATTTTGTGGGACATTGTCGAGCCACTGCTCCAAACTGAACACTTTTATAGATCCACTTGCTTAATTCAACCATCATTGCTTCTTTGACTCTCCAATTTTTGTACACCTACATCTCGAAGTGTGAAACATTTGCAGCACCTCCGACCTCTCGTCGTAATCGAAGATAAACGATCACGTGAAGTTTTTGCTTTTGACAGCATTGAGAGTCAATCTGCTCAAACGAAAAGCTGGTTTGCGGAGTTTACGAGCTTTTTCAGATGCCACGCAGAAGTCATAGAATCTCGTGACCTTTTTTATGAGTTGAAAAACGCTCTTAGAAACTTTGCGTAATAGCTGATTCTGACGAACAGCTGCAAAATCACCATAAAGTATACACTTTTTTTTTTTACAAAATTCGATGTTCAATATTCAGGAATTGCAGCTTGACTTATTACCTTGCCTATATATGATGATGCGGTTTTGCGAAAACTCTCAGATTGTTGTGGTGCAACCGTGCCTTCAAATTTCGAGTACATACTTTTCATGAAAACTCCCCTAAGGAGTAGATTGGTAATAAGCCTAAATTGCACTATTTTTTCTTCTCGTTTCTTGATCATTAAGGTAAAGGACGCACTTATAGGCTTTGCGTAATCGTTGTTAAAGGACAAGGTTTAAGACCACTGGGACCGTCACGCTTTTACATCCCAAGGCTTGGTTTATAAAACTTGTACGAAAATGAAGTCATGAGTTGCGGTAGATATATGGTATAAGGAAAGAATTTTAAATCACCACAGAATTGGCTGCATTTTAGGGGAGAGGATATCCAACACGTGTGCACATGCGAAAAAAGTCATGTGCACAGTTAGAAAAAAATAGGTGCACTTGGGATTTTGAATCCACAGTTGTCATACTTCGAGAAGTGATCGGAGCACCCTGCCCAATTACAACTCAGACCACCAGGTCAATTTGGAGAACCCCCAGAACTTAGTTACTCTTGACTAACTCGCAAAACCTAATTCAAATCAGAGAGGAGTTTGAGGGTCATGTCCAGTCTCTGCTCACAGAGAATTTTCTCAAAAAGTAATCCAAATTATTGGGATCATGGGATTCCTTTTAGAAGAATCCATTGAGATACGAAGAAGTTATGTTTTTGTTTGAGATTAGGCGCAATAACTTTTGGGAAAACCTAGTATTTGAAGTCTTATACACAGGTGATCAAATTAATTTTGTGAAACCAGAAGGTAATACAGTGCGTATGATGTCTCCTATCCCCGTCCCCTCACAGTTCTCGAGCCAGTTCCTCCCATCCTTTGCTTTCAAGTGCTGACGCGATCGAGCTCGTCCTTAGTTTGTAACTTCTGAGTAAGATGGGTTTTGAAAAAGGCTGGTTTACGCTATTTCCGTACTATCAAGTTCAATTTTCGAGATTAGCGTCGATTTGTCTCGAGTAAGCAAAAAATTTTATGCAAGATTGTCGAGCCCACTGCTTTAAACTAAACACTTTTATAGAACCATTTGCTTGATTCGACCATTATCACTTCTTTGACTCTCAGATTTTTTGTACCTACATCTCGAAGTGTGAAACATTTGCAGCACCTCTCGTCGTAATCGAAGATAAACGATCACGTGAAGTTTTTGCTTTTGACAGCACTGAGAGTCAATCTGCTCAAACGAAAAGCTGGTTTGCAGAGTTTGCGAGCTTTTTCAGAATCCACGCAGACGTCATAGAATCTCGTGAGTTTTCTTATGAGGTGAAGAACGCTCTTAGAAACTTCGCGTAATCGCTGATTTTGACGGACAGCTGCAAAATCACCATAAAGCAGACACTTTTTACAATACTCAATGTTTGATATTCAGGAAGTGTTGAGCTTAATTTATTACCTTGCCTATGTGAGGATGCGGTTTTGCGAAAACTTTCAGATTGTTGTGATGCGATCGCGCCTTCAAACTCCAAGTACTTTTATGAACTTTCTCCTGAGCAGTAGACTGGGCATAGGCCTAAATCGCACTACTTCTTCTTCTTGTTTTTTGATAATTAAGATGGAGGACGCACTTACAGACTTTGCGTAATGGTTGACGTTGAAGGACAAGCACCAAGATCACCGGGAACTGCCATGCTTTTACATCCCAAGGCTTGGTTTATGAAACTTGTACGAAAATGAAGTCATGCGCACAATTAGAAAAAAAGTAGGCGCACTGGGCATTTTGGGTCTACAATTGTCATACTTCGAGAAGTCGGAGCATACTGCCCAATTACAGCTCAGAAAACCAGGTCAAATTGGAGAACCCTCAATTTAAAATCTTAGTTACTCTTGACTAACTCGCAGAACCTGTTTCAAATCATAGAAAAGGTTGCGGGTTATGTCCAGTCTCTGCTTACAAAGAAATTTCACAAAAATATTTCAAATCTAAAGGCGATTGCATCATAACATTCTGGGAGTTTTAGCAGAATCGCACCATCAATTAGGCAATATAATAAATCAACCTCAGCACTTTCTAAATATTGAACATTGAATTTTGTAGAAATTTGGTTGCCCTTTGGCGTGGAGCTTGTCCATCAATAACAGCGATTACGCAGAGTTTATAAGAGCGTTCTTCACCTCTTTTATCAAGAAAGCACAAAAGCTTTCGAGACTTTTGCGTGGCATGTATAAAGGCTCGTAACTTAAACCAGCTGTTTATTGAAAGAGATTGACTTTGAGAGCTTTAAGAGGGAAAAATTCAGGTGAATATTTATTCCTCGAATTTTCTTTTAGAGTCAAGGAATGCAAAAATCAATGGTGGCTAAAAAAAGCAAATGTATTTATAGAGTGTCCAGCCTGATCAAGGCTTTTTTGGAAAATTCTTTTTTTCGAGTCAACGAGATTGAGAGCCGTTTTGAAGAATGATGGTAGGCTTGCATGTAAACAACGCAACAAAACTTCAAATAGATCCATTAACAAAAAGGCAAATCATGGCGATAATGAGAATAGATAACAATTGCGTTTAGCACTGTATTGCTCTTCAAAGCTTACACCCTCTGAAAAGTAAATGTGAAGTAAGTAGTCGTTTCATCAAAACCCTTGTTCTGCAATTCTCAATGGCCATACCTGACTAACTACACAACACTGATGCTATCTCAAAGTTTGGTCTATTCTGCGCCATACTGTGACTAAGCAGGTCATAGTGTTTTTGATAAGTGCTAGAAAAGAAGTTTTTTTTTGTAATCTTAGTGGAGACCAAGCTTAGCAAGCCGTAAAGCTTCTTGCACCAGATTTGACGCCACGTTAATTTCAAAATTTTCGAATCGGCCGAAAAAATCATAATACGTCATAATACGACATCGTGACAGCGGTTCGTCAGCATACTTTAACGGTCAAAAAAGTGCGAGTCTTATAAGGATAATTGCCATGACAGATACAATCGATCATCCACCAGTATAAAACTGACTCAAATCAGACTCATTTAGCATTATTATCAAATGTTTTTGTCTGTGCACGTTGTTCTCCTTATGGCTATTATTGCCCGCACCCAAGCGCTCAAATGTTACTCAGGTGTGTTAATTGTATTAAATCGTAAGCCCACTCGAACAAACAACCTTACAAGCCGTGTCTTTGAGTTTTAGGACTTTTGCGAATTCAAAAAGATCGAGACCTTCTGTAAATATATTTTGGTACAAGCTCACACAAAATTCCTTGAAGAGTGCCCTAGCTAATTGCACTTCCAAATTTCTGCTTATTTCAGGACTTTTCGACACGCAGAATTCGATCTGAGCTCTAAAAATGGAAAGACCGTTTTTGGAGAGTTTAGCCACTTTCCAAAAGTCACACGAGAGTTTCCATGGAAAGTTGGGGAACTCTGGCATGAAGACCAGAGTAGTTTTTGCTCTGAATGGCATGCACAAGAGGGAGCTGTCATGGGTTTCCGCGCAGGTGCGAAGCCGTTTGAGCACGCGCCGACTAGGGTTGCGCGCATCGGTTCCAGGGCTATTTTCCAGGTGCAGGGTGAACATCAATCAGCCGGACTGGGCCTAGAAGTAAGTGGGGTGACCAGGAACTCCACCACAGCTATATCCCCCATGAAGCAAATCTGCCAGGACACTGCCTTTAAGACTGTGTGTTTCAATCCTTTGCGTTCGTCTGAAAAGACGTATCAAAACTCGAAAATTGAAATTCCAAGCCCGAACACCCTTTAAGTGCACTATAATTAGGAAATGGCAATCGATCTGGCCCGAAGGGAGATGTATGCCACCAGACGCGCCTTCAAACGCTGATTTCAAATCTTCTTTTCTTTTCTACGAAACAACTTTCCGGAATAATCTAAAATTGCCAAATCTTAAGTGGCATAAAAAGGTGAAAACCTGTTCAAGAACGCCTGTAAGTGAGCAATTTTGTATCACCTAATATTGACCACAAGGAAGGATAAGAGTTAGTAAAAATTCGCATGGGTGTTATTGTACGCGCTGATTTTGCGCCACTGCTTTGAAAAATTTGAGCTAAATGATCTTAACTTTTTTCAGAAAGTTGTTCGCAGAAAAAAAAAGAAAGCAAATTTGGAACCAGCCTTCGAAGGCCCGACCAATATTAATATAGTGTACATTTCAATTCAGTTTATCAGATCTTGTCTTTCCTCTGCTAGGACGCGAACAAATCGGGCTTGACAGTGGTCTCACTCTGGTTCCCGAACAAGTGTGAGGAAGATTGATAAATACCGCTCCTGATTGAAAAAGCTCTTCTTTAGTCTTTCCAAGTGGTCATTTTTGCGCACTTTGGCTCTTTAAAGACAACAGATGGCAATAAGATGCAAATAACGGAAACAGTTTCGAGATCAGCGTTTCAAAAAGAGCATTTTGATGTGAAGCATATTTAAAAGGCCACGGTCAGCAATTATCTAAAAAAAAGGGGCTTAGTATTTTTGTAGTTAAGCAAAGAAACACTATCGATTGTGGGTTTTAGTCGTAAAGCATTTTATAGCTCAAGCTAGGTTGTATACAAGAGCTTTGCTTGAAGCTGCAAAAAGGCTTTAACACACGTTTCGGACCGCGAAATTGCGCGCGGCGAAAAAGAGTCTTTCAGCCGTTGGCCTACAAAGGAATCTTATTTTGCAGACTGTGGACTACATCTGTAATCAGCATGTCAGGTAAGCTCCATACCCAAAGTTTTGAGTGAATTCGAAGTGTTTGAATTCTGTCGCTTGAGAGGGAGTTTTGTGCTCTCTGGAAGATAGGAGTAAGAACTCAGTTTCAAATAGTATTGAAAAGTATCCATGTTCACTGTACATATCATTATTGAAACTACGGTTTATCTCTTTGGAATCGAAGCAAAGAAAAGTTGCGACATCGCACGCGTCGTTCGCTTTGCCGCACTTCGTTGCAACTGTTGTTCGATATGTCCTCATATCTCCTAAACAAATATGTGCGGCACAGCTCTACAGAGTCATTTGAAAAGTAAGAGCTTAGATCTTTGACTTAACAACTTTAGACTAAAAGAAAACCTCCTGTAAACGTCAGAAAGGCCCTTCAAAGCAGCGTGCAGCACATGTGCAGCACCGTTCCGAAACGTGTTAAGGGGGAGGAAAATAAAATTTGAGCGTGAAAATCCTAGGGGGAGCGGAATAAAATTTGAGCACGAACAAATTCCTTCGCCTGAAAGCCGAGATTTTGCATGCGCAGATAGCCGGCTTTAGACGTAGCTATAGGTCTGTTTGACTGCGACCCTTCTGCACACAAGAGCATGAAACGCTCATACAAAGAGGCTCCACCTTAATACCTTAACGCTCAGCTCAGTCGTTTCCTGTGTCTAAATAATATTATGCTTAAGCAGAAAAAACATTCGAGTAAAGATGAGAACCAGAAAATGAGCTTGCCGGCGTGGGGTGCGTGCATGTTGCGCGCTCGCGCCATCGACACAATTTTTTGACTAACCTTCAACTGTTCAAGAGCAACTTTTACCACCCAATCACCGCACCGTAAGGCGCTAATATGGCGCGCCAAAATTACAGCGCCAACTTTATAAACAGTTTCCCGAAGAAACCGCTCAAAAACACAAGCTTAAATTTGTGCATAGGAAGTACTAAGCAATCTTTACAAAAAAACATTCGAAAAATTCAGAAAGTTCTCTATTTACGACCTTATGTTCGAAATCTATTATGAGGTCTCAGACATGCAAAACTTTCAAACACAAAACAATCCTTTAATTATGAGACATGTAGAGAGTATCTATCATGACTGATTAGTCAGAACGGTATCAACTCTAATTTAGGATACATTTTATGATGGAAGGTCGAAACTACACCAATTTTCGATATGCTGCTTTTCAACTATGTATTAAGTTGTCCCATTAATCTTTTCATTTAAGAATTTGCTATTATTAGTCACATACACTTCTTATTCTAGATAAACATCAAGATACCAATGGATAGAGCAAAGCAAGCCCTATACGATGGCGTTTATGCTTTTGCACAAGCTTTGGTCCATCTCGAGTTTTAAACCAAATTCTAAAAAGTTTCAGATGGCCAGAAAACCGAAAATTTTTTATATCTTCGTTCAAAAAAATCCTACAAATCTCTAGCTCGCTCACTTATATACATCTCACATCCGACATTCATATATGCTGTTGCTGTCTTTTTTCATTAAATAGAAATCAAAAAACCGAGAATTTTCAGGTTTTTACCGAAGTGATGCTGTGCACTTCTTATACTAACAGCTGTATACAACGAGCCCTTAGAAGTACACCTTAGAAGTAAATTTTCAGCCTTCTATAAGATCTGGTTTCTGAAAAACGTTGATAAGCATGAAAAACCCGAACGAAGAAAGCTAGATGTGATAATTCTCGTGAACCACTGCATATAGAGAGCCAAAAATCTACGGCAGTACTTCTAAGGCTTTCAGTAAATGTTAGTGTAACAACAGCACAGCATCACTTTGGTAAAAACATGGGAATTTTTGGTTTTTTGATTTCTAGCTGATAAAATACAGCAACAGCACATATGAGTGTCTGATGTGGGATTATGCGTGAGTGAGTTAGAGATTTGTAAAATTTTTTTGAACGAAGATATAAAATTTTTTCGGTTATTTGGCCATCCGAAAATTTTAAGATTTTGGTTTGAAACTCGAGATTGACCAATGCTTATGCAAAAGCATAAACTCCATCGTATAGAGCTTGCTTTGCTCTATCGAATAGTATCCTGATGTTTATTTAGAATAAGAAGTGTGTGATTTATTATAGCGAAAACGCAAAAATGAAAGGACTCATGGGACAACCTAATATACAGGTTGTCCCAAAAGTAAGTACACACTTTTCAATCGTTAATATCTCTCTTCCCATTGTATCTTTTTCCGCCATTCAAAGGCCGTTCTGTAGAGGAGGCTCCAACTTAAATTCACATTATCGATTGAATGGCCGATCGCCCTTCGTTACTGTGGGATTACGGTAAGAACTTCCAGCATGTGGAGCGTAAGCTACTTTCAGCATAAGCAATATGCCATCTGACAAAATTTTTTTTCAAAAAATCTAAAAAATTATGTATTAGAGTTTGCGCGCACGCTGATTCCACTACACAAATTTTTACAAGTGTTTTAAGCTTTTTTTTGACGGTGCAATCACATTTCTGACAAATACTTGGAATTCGGTTATCACGTTTTACCTAGGATAATTCTGGAGAAAAGCATCACAGTAAAGTGGAAACTTCATATTCGAAATCGGCGGCTTCCACAATCACAGGACAAGGGTTTTTGGCTTGTTTGGTTAGGTTCCAAGGCAGAATATGGCTTCCAATGGCCTAAAATGCTTGCCGAAGTTCCTACAATAATCCTACAGTAACGGAGGGCGGAGGTGCTCCGCTAGATACTGCATATCTAAGTTGAAGCCTCTTCTACAGAATGACACTTATAAGGTGGAAAAAGACGTAATGGGAAGAGAGATGTTAACGATTGAAAAGTGTGTATCAATTTTCAGGACACCCTGTATAAACCAGAAAAATTTTGATTTGAATATTGCGTTACGATAGCGAGGGGGGGGGGCAGCCAACATGAACGATAGGTTGTGCCGGCCGTACGCGTTGCGTAGATCAAATATTTTTCAGATTCTATATTTACTCTATGATGGCATTTAGGAATTTGGAAAAACGCTGGGAGCTTAACGGGCTTTGATCTTTAGTTTTCGACACCATTTTTAATCCAGTAAAGAGCATATCGCTTCAAAAATAAAACTTTATGCGCGGTATATCGACAGTCGTTATTTCAGCTATCGTTCATTTTGGCACACATCCCGATAGCGATGGGGGTAAAAACAATTGCATACCTGACCTCAAGCCCTTCTAGTATCCTTCTGGCACCCAAGGAAACAGCGCCGGTAATTTTGACGCACCCCGCATACCGAGAGACGATCAAGAGGCGCGATTTCCCCGGCTGTCACAAACTCAAAACTCCAGTTTTAGTGCGATGCGAGTCTTCAAAGAGTACCAAACAAAGTGCGTTAGCTCACTAAGTGTCTGAGGTTACCACTTGCTCTGTTTAGTGGCTTTTGCTGGAAAACGGACCGAATTATCTACGATT